TCTTAGCTCCAATTAATCAGCAAAAAGCTGGAGGTGGCAGTGTGGCTCAATGAAAAAAAATCAAGTGAGAGCAAAAGGCCCTGAGTTCAAGCCCCAGTACCAGTACACACACATTGAAATGAAAAGTAAAGGTGCAGTGTCAACATATAAGAAGATCTTAAATAGATAAAAGGTTCTGGAACTGTCAAGTTCCTAAAAAGAAAATAATTTCGTTTTGACATACGGTGGAAAATAGCATGAATTTCAAGGACTGAGACTTGTCTTGATTTTTAGATGGAATTTGATTATTGATAGAAGCAAGGATATCTATTGATGATGTAAATAGAATTAGGTGTATTAGAACAGGAAAAGACAGGCTGCTAGTGCAGAAATGAAAAGATGATAGACTATTTGTTAGCACTTTACAAATTGAGCCATAACTATTCTTTCAGTTTTTGGATGGTAGAGATAAGAGTTTCATGGACTTTTCCTGTCTGACATGGCTTAGAACCCTGACCATCAGATCTTAGCCTCCTGAGAAGACAGAATTATAGGTGTCAGCCAACCATACTTGGCTTTAACTTTTTTCCCCCTACCATATGGGCTTGAGCTTAGGGCCTGTTGCTCTAACGTGGCTTATTTTCTCAAAGCCGGTACTCTACCACCTGAGCCATACCTCTACCTCCTGCCTTTGTTTTGTAATTGGAGATGAGACATGGACTTTTCTGTCTGGGCTGGCTTTGAACTGTGATTCTAAGATCTCAGTCTCTTAAGCAGCTAGGTTAATAGGTGTGATCCACTGGCACTTGGCTTCTGATGATTTCCTGATCAGAGTTTGTACATTGATCATGAACTAGTGGAAACCAAACAATTAACAGGAGAGATGAAAAAAAGCACAATTAGTGCTGTAAAGAAACATAGAGACTGATGAACAGCTTCCATTTGTGTAATGTTACTCCCTTTCATAAAGCATCTTCAGAGATGGTGTTTTTCTTTAACACTATCATGACCTTTGCAAGGTAAGCAAGTATTATTGATCAAGCATTTCAAGAGAAGTAAGTTGTTTGATCCGATATAAACCTCTGTAAGAGCAATAGTGCCTTTCTGAGCTACAATAATGTTTGTGGGCAACAATATACAATGTTCATATAGTGACCCTTGGTCTTTGTGACAGCCACCACAGTTTGAGCTGTATTTAATAATGCTCAAAGTCTCATCCTGTTAAACCACTTGCAGAGTAAAACCTTCATTTCAAGTTCCCCTTTAGATCCACATCTCTTTCATTTCAAAGATCAGGAAGATCTAAATGTTTCAAGCAATACTGACCATGCTTTTGTTTTCCTGGCCCATTAATATATCCTTTGTCTCTACTACTATAGTATCTGCCTCTCTTCCCATCCATCCAACACTGTATCTTAGCAACTGTATCTCGCTAGCTCACAACAGAAATTACCCTCACTCAGTGTTGTCTGTGTTGTTTTCTCAACTTTTATTCGTGACATTCTCTTTGGGAACATACAATTATGATATTACCTCTCAAAAGCCATCTCTTAGGACCTCGGTTCTCCCAACACGAGCCTGAGCTTGCCCCCATTTCAACAGTACAGTAGAACATGTAAGCCCACAATGCTTGGCCAAAACTTCTGGAAAAATTGATGAAACTTCCCCCAATCAGGTGCATTGCAGTGTAGAGCAGAGACTAAAAGGTTCCACAGCATGACACGTTTATACCATTCAAAGACTTCAGATCCATTTCCTTTATTTTTCCTTGACCTGTGTCTTCAACAGCTTAGGGAGAAAGAAGAAATACAAGTTTTCTTCTTTCAGACTCTATTCTCAAATGATTGGGAGTGAAAGAAGAAGGATGAATAACATCTTCAAAAATGGCAGAATTTGGAAGCTTCGAGTGTAGCTCAGTGGTAGAGCACTTGTCTAGAATACAAGAGGCTCTGGGTTTGATATTCAGCAGTGAAACGAAAGTAAAATATTTCTATTAACTTTATCCAAGGAAGTTAAATCAGAAGCTATGGCTAGCTAATGTCTCCTAGAAAACTGAAAACATGTTCGGGTACACATAATCAAGTAAGAATTTATTCCACTATTAATGAAATACTATTACATTTGATTCCTGAAGTGTATACTTATATATACATTTCCCTAAAAGTTAAAAGAAAAAATTGCCAATTATGTATTGTATTTATAGACAATATTGTGTGTATGCAGACAATATATTGTTTCTACATATAGAAAATATATACATATATAATCAATATTCATATA